GCACCGCCAAGTTCAAGCAACCTGACTTCTGCTATGTTCTGCCGTGGCACCTTGCTTGTCCTTGGCGGCACCTTTGGAAAAGCGGGACCTGCAGCGCATCCGCTCACAAAAGCATTTCAACACAATGGCATTTAAGAAACCTGCCGAAACCCAGTCCGGGTCTTGTGGTTTTGCCCTGCGGCTCTGGGGTCCGTCCTCGCCAGTCAGAAGCCTGACTCTTGTGTTGCCTCTCGCCATCCCTTCTCAAGTGCGTTCGCCAGCCCTATCCCTCTTGTCACTGGGTAGTGTTTTCATGTGTCACAGCGAGCATCAGGATTGTCAACGCGCTCGCCAGGAGCACTGCTCCAAGTCCCCCGATCTACAGCTTCTCTCAGTACACGTGCATGTACTTTGCTTCCTTGTTTACTACTAGACTTTCTTTTGCGGCTCGTGCCAGGGATGTCACATGAACTTTGAGGACTGATGTTGGACCCACCCAACTCCCAACCCCCCAACCCCCCCCCCCCCCCCCCCCCCGCAACAGAGCAAGATCCAAATTATATTTCTACGACAATAAGAAAAGAAATTGGCAATCATTGCCTTCCGGTATAATCCAATGGTTGGTGAAGGCTCCCATGAAAAGGAGCCCAAAGTCAAAGGTCAACCTCCTCAAGGAAAGCGGGAAAGGCCTGCAATGTAGGGCCTTAGGTTTCAGGTTGAACCAGAATCCAAGCCAGCTGCTGGTGACCGGTAATCTGGTGTCGTTACTGTGTAAGCAAAGCTTCTTTTGATCTCCGCCATTCAAGGCTCACATGTAAGACAAGCTGTCTAGGCATGTGTGCAGTAGTTGGGATGTCTTCATCAGTCGGGTGTTCGGAACCAGGTGTTCCCAACATAAGGGCATGCGCAGGCTATTTTACATTGTCATGTACTCACATGGTGCTTTCAAGTGCTTGCATATTACTCACTTGGCACTTACATTGTGCTTACATGGTACTTAATTACAGAGTCCACACGCGGTGCTCACATAGCGCTTTTGAGTTCTAATCACATGGTGCTTACATTGTCCCTGCATGGTGCTTATGTCGCGATTACATGGTGCTTACATAGCATTCCGATGCCGTGCAACTTACGTGGCACTTCCGAAGCACGCACAAGTGATTCCCCAACTCGGGACTTACACCAAATCTGACAACACAAATGTGTAGTTTTCTCTGTGCGCAGCAATCTGACCTGACATCATGACCTCCAGCTCTGTTCCTTGCATCCTGCTTCTATGTATGTCTAGGCAGAGGGTGCCATAGAAGCAGGAGGTAACCTTAGATTCTTGCCACATGGAGCGGACGCTCCCCCACGCATGAACGAGACGACTTTACTAGTCACCTGCATCCTCCGCTGACAGAAAGTTGAACATCGGCCTCCACTGCCTGGCCACCGCTGAAAAGCCACACACCTTCCTGAGTTCGGTCCAAAGGCTACTTGGGGGGGGAAGGCTGGGAGCCTGGATTCCGTCAATTCTGCTGAAGGAACTTGAGAATCAAGGGTTTTTCTTAGCCAGGCGCGCGCCTTTTCAGCAAAGAAAGCTGGCTGTCTCAGCTAGTCTCGCAAACCCAAGAAAGGGCCTGAATTCACCCCGGCTCTACTCTCACTGCCCCACTCTGAACTTCTGGCAAGAAACCGCGTTTGCGGCGCCTGGCTCCTCACGGAACGGCTCCTGCAAGGAATGAGCAGATGCCGGACATGCACCCTTAAGCCCTTAAGGCGCTTCAAAGCCCTGACCCAGAACCTTAACCTTTCTGAACCTTCTGCTTCTGAAAGCCCACTTTCTGGCTGCGCGGTATCTTTCAAACTTTGCCGCGAAGAGCTTTGGGGGTTGCATAACGACCTCAGGTTGTAGAGCCGAGCGCTTTTGGAGTTTCCAACTCCAAAGCCTCCACAACCCAGGCCGATGCCGAAAGCAACCTTCAAATCCTGCACGCCCAGCACAACTCCTCGCTGTCTGGAGCCGCGCAGCTTGGGCTCGCCCCGCGCGGGCCGAACAGCGCCTGCCAGAAAGACACCCGACACATGAGGAGGATTTGCGGGTCAGAGTGTTTAGGGTCGTTTCGGGTTCACGGTTCACAAGGTAAAACTCTAGGCCGTGAGATGCTCCTTTCGGAAGGTGCCGGCTAGCTCTTCCAAAGACATAGCCGCAATAGGCGCTGACAGGAAATACTGGAGGCGGGGGGCATTGAGATCCCATTTCCTGTGGAACACGCCTTGCTTCGAGCAGGACTTCAAAGGTGGCTGGCTCCTCTGTCATTTACATTCCTTCCAACGATCAATGGCAAGCAAGCGAGACTTTCGTACGAGTGCAATCCGAAACTCAGACCCAATGATGTAAATTGTTGAGACCACGCCCCTCTGGACCCTAAAACACTAAAAAGTCTGAAGCCACGGCTACTGTCGCTTTTGTTCAACAGGGGAAGGAGCCTTGCCGCTTCGGATTCCGGGCAGACATCCGCCATCGGGGCCGAGACAATAGCCGCACCCGCCGTGCTCATGTTGCACCTGTGGCATACTTTTGGTACAAAAGGCTCCGGTGAAAGTGCACCCCCCTCAGTGGCCGCAATACACATGGAATCTCGGAATCTCAGGTAGTATCATCTTGTCTGCAGTATTGGGGATTCCGATTCCGGGCACTGGAGTCGCAGCCAACCCCCCCCCCCCTGACATTTGTTGTCCCTTCCCCTCTTTCATCCAACCCCTTAATCTTATTTGACTCGCCTGCCTCTTTGTTTGGAGCCCTCCCTCCCTTCTTTCCTGGTCCCTGGCCCTGGTTGGTTTATCGAGCCTACACACTGAGGGGGCAGAGTGGGGAAACAAATGCGCGGTGGCGGGGCGCACAGATCGACCTGAGGCGGACATTCGTGTCAAGACAAAACCTCCATAAACCTCCTAATTACCATCTGGGCAGGGGGTGTGGCGAGGAAGAGGTGGGCTTAAGACATGGTGGGGGGGGGGGGGGGGGGGGGGCAGGGTGGCGGGACCAGTATCCGAGAGTCTGGATCGTGTCAAAAATACAAGGGTGACAAATGCAAAGGAGATGGGCCCATACTCAAAGCCTGAGTTCACACAGCAGCTGCAATGCTTGTCTGAAGCCGACGGTTGCGCAAGCCTCCAAGCACTCCGAGATGGAAGATTTCCCCCAGCCTGACATCTGCCACACCAAAGCAAGGCTGGTTGCGAAGCGCGTGCTTGCAAAATCGACAGCCCTTCAATGCAGAAGAAACATGTTCTACCCCCGGACATAGTTCCAGGCGCTCTGCAGCAAAAACTTTGCGGCCAGGGCGCATGGCGACCAGGATGGCAACTCGCTCGGCTGGTCCAGGTAGCACGAGCTCCGGCCATTCAGCCAAAGGCCGCAGCTGGTGTCGTTCAGGAAGAGGAAATGCCTCGAATGGACAGGAAAAGGGTTATCACGTGGTGATTTATGGCTACTGCACCGGTCTCTACGGGCGACATGGCCTTCAGTGCCGAATTCAATACACAGCTTCTGGCCAATTCAAGTCGTTCGCGCATCACTCGCCCTGATCGCCGTGAAAACCCTGAGATCGAATGAACAAGGTGGAAGCCACGCTGGGGCTGTGAAGCCGTCGGGAAAGCTGGCTTCGAACTCCGCAGTTGAATACGACAACAAAGCGTAAAAGCGGGCATTCCTGGGCGAGGCCGAGCAGGCTGCTGACATCGTCCTACGAAACCTCTTCAAAACGTGTCATTAATAACTTCTATAAACCCTAAACATCCAAAACTCCAAAACTTTTCAAAGCTCCAGCTAGGCCACAAGAAGTCCGAGACGTGAGACATGAAGGCAAAGATCGGGTCCGGCGTGGAAGCGCACAGGCCGGAGGTGCTACACCACGTGCAGTAGGGATAGCCCTCCTGGATGGGGATCAGGGGCTTGGGGTTACGGCGGTGGTTACGGTGGAGGGGCGCACGGCTGGTGAAACGTTGGTGCGAAGCTCTTGTTGTGCCGGCATGCTAAGCTAAGGAAGGACACAAATTTCTTGAAGGACTCAATATATAGCAGACTTCCAGTTCGGTGGTCCTGGATGCAGAAGCCTAATTCTCTCAAACCTCAACTCCAACTCGCTGGTCCTGGCAGGCAGCGCAATCTCTTCGGAGCGCGCAGTCGTCCGCAGCGGCCAAGCACACGCATAGCGGCACCCAGAACCTTCAAACAAGGCTTCAGAGGGTGGCTTAATGTGCCGGCATCTCGGGACTGTCGGTGAACATCTGCCTTTTGATCATTCGGTTGTTTAGTTCTTAAGCATCCACAGCCTCGAACCATGTTACACATGAGCCCGACCAGATGATGCGGAGTTGAAGTCGCTCAGGACATGAGAGCCTTACCTTGCCGGCCTGTAAGGACGCAGGTTTCAAGTAGGGGCCCGAGCAGATCAGCAGAGGGCTTGTAGGTGTGCACCATGTCCATCCCTACTCTCTAGACACTGGACCCTTGAAAGAACACGAATGCCTTTCACGCCTTCTGCTGATGCCTTGCCAATACTGGTAGTTAGCATGTAGGAAGGCACTGCTTATACTCCTCACATGGAGGCACCTAGTGCATCTGGAGCTGAGCATCGAGATCAATGCCACCATCCATGCTGCAACTCGCCCAGAGGTTTCGAGGGCCACAGGGCAACAGCGCACGCTGTTCGCCCCATGATGGGATTCTTTGTTTTTGATCAGCGTGCTCTATGGAGCTGAATGCAGTTGCAGACACTCGTCCCTTCAAGCTTCAATTGCTGCATGCTTCTCTACGATTCTTCTGCGGGTGCAGCAGACAGGAGATCAACTCGGCTTTGCAAGCTTCTGTTTCGTGCAGACCCCATGCTGGCATCGCAAGCCACAAAAGCAGCACAAGACCTAGACCCTACAAGCAGGCCAGGCAAGCAACAACCCTCAAGTTAAAAATCCATAAGCCCTATAAAACGATAAACCCATCTAAACCCTCAAGCTGCTTGAGCTGGGGCCCTTGCCCTGAAAGCGCCGGGCCCGGAACTGGCAGAGCTTGAAGAGCTTGTAGCGGGCAAATCCTGAAGGTGTAAGCGGCTGGGTCGGGGAAATCAAGGGTCCAGAATGGTGGGCACTGGGGTGGTTTTTGTGTGCGCGGCCGATGGCCCATTGTGAGGTCGACCCGACTGAGGCGCGCACGGTAGTCGAACAACAGATTGGCCACCTCGGCATCTTGCAATGAGTCTGCTACCCTGCTACTCGCCTGCATGCATCGGATTTGACGTGACTGCATATGAATGTCATACATGATGCCTCTCGGTTTGTCTACCTGCTATACTCACGAGCTTCGCAGAACTATTCTGCAACTCCAACACGTGTTGGATCGTGTTGGGGTTGCTCGCTCCAATCACAAGCTTTTGTTGAAGGGGAAGTTTTTGGGATTTGGTCAGCTGCAGTCAGAGGGTCCCAGAAAGGTTTTTTCATTCTTCTTTTTCATGCTTTTAGGTGGGGGGGGGGGTGTTTAAACCCGGTGCAACCTTAAAAAGATACTGGCATCCTGGGTGATCCAGTTAGACCTCTACAAGCGGCTAGGTTAACTCACATCTTTGCGTGTGAAGTCACATCTCCCCTGTGACACGCGGCTGTGAGGGAAGTCACATCACGCCGCGTAAAGTCGCATCACAGAGACATATGTTGAAGCCTTTCCCCCAATGTGCACAGGTTCTCGACACACATGCAAGATGCGCACTTGTAACCGCACGCCTGGGAGGGGAGCACATTTTTGTCAGCGTGCATGGGATTTCTGCTTGGGGGTGCAAGTGGGTTCTGACCAATCTTGGAATTCGCGAATCCCCGGTGTGCACGCGCCCGAGATATGACTTTACACAAGAAACTACGACTTAACCTACCCCCTTGTAGCACGACGATCCCCGAGCCCGCAACACCCATACAACCGAACCTGTGATCCAACGGCTCTTGAGGCGGGTGCATCGTCGGTGCACTGGAGGATGGCATAGGCACGGACCTCTGGCAACCATGGCTTTACTGACAGCTGAGTTTAGAGGCAAGCTTAAGCTTGGGCACACACCGGACTTTGAACGGGGTCGCAACAGTTCTCATGGAGGCAATGTGGGGTTGACGGGCAGAGGAACGCGAAGGAGTTCGAACGGAGCTTGAGACAAGCGCTGAAGCCTGTGAATTGGTTGCTCCAAGCTTTCCAGAGCCTCACCGCCCTTCCGTATGAACAAAGAAATAGACACGTCTTGGATCCAACTCCAGCGTGTCCAGCAAAAGCCTTGAGTATGAGCAAGCCTTGCAGAGACCACGAGGCAGCGAGGCACGCCTGCACCCGACGGGGGGCGGCACCTTCCTAAAATCTCCTAAACCCTGATCCCCAAAGCCTAAAACCCATTCTTGGGATGTGGCCACTGGCAAGTCCTCCTCGGCATCCAGCTTCGTGCCAACCTTGAAATTCAGCTTCCTGAGGACCAGAGCAGCGTCCCCCAAAGCCCTCGCCCAATGGCAGGAAAAGTACGGGGCAACGTTTTCATGTCACAGACCCACTCAATTTCAGAAAGGGATGTTTCGAACTCTGGTGTAGGCGTCCATAGCACATGCACAGGCCGTTGGCTGAGGAGCAACAGCCAGATGATAGCCACTGCTAGCGTCAACTCCGGTTCAAAGGCGAATGCTCTGAGCCCGCAGCTCCAGCCGACTCTTCAGCTTGTCCACGCGGCCTTGCTTCCTGAGAGGGCATCAGGCACAGCTACGATCTCTAAGTTGAAGGTGTAGCTCATTTGAGCATTGTTGTTGTTTCATTGCGTGGGCTCTTGTCATTTTGTGGACTTCTTATGACCTCAGCCGCGCAGCCTACGCGCAGAGTAGGCGGTTACGCGGCCCTACGTGCCAAGCCCTCAAACAAAGCCACGCGCAACTGTTTTAGCTGGTAGGGTACTGGCACGTTCTCCCCAGGCGCCATGGTTTTAACTGGTTCTGTGCCCCTATGCCTCTGTACGCGCAAGCTAGGTGGAACCTACGTCGCGCCTACGCGGAACTCCCCAAGTATGAAACCTGAGACTTTCAAGCACCCCTGAAATTCCTACCACCCTTCATAAACATGGTCTCAAACCTTGCTTTGCATCCTCGCACCCTCCCGGAAAGGTGCTTCGACTATCTTCTAATCTGTGGTACCTGGCGCGAATAAAATACTCACCACTACGCGGACCGATGCAGACCGCGTCCGTGGTTCACAAAAGCTACGAGGTGCCTGCGCAGACCTACACAGGCCTACGCCCCTGCAGGGAAAATGCTTCTCTATAATATGCCTCTTTCATGTCGAAAAAATCACGATGCTCATTGGGTTTGCCAAGCCCCATGAGTTTCACAGAACTTGAACCCATGCCGCTGAGTTGCCCCGTCTTCTCGCTGTACTTTTCTGCGATCTCAGTGCCTTATGATTCTTATTCAATGAAGAATGTGATAGAGGGTGCATTGGAGAGGCACGTGTTGCACATCTCAGCCAGTTCAGCCCTCGGCGAAGCACTAGATCGGCCCGATCTTTCAGTTCATGCAGCCTGGAAAAAAGTTGGGGGGGCCTATGTGTTAGGATTGCAACCAACGAGACATGAGAAATGTGGTAGCAGCAGGCTACGCGTACCTATGCACAACTCGGTCAGGGCATGTTTTCGGTCAACCTCTAGCTTTCACAGGCAACGTGGCAAAGCCTGCCGTTGTAGTCGCGGACCAACGTCAGCTCGCAAACCTTGCTACTTGCAGGTCCCTTCCTGTTGGTCGCCTGTTTAGCAAGGCTACCAACAATTGTTTCAGTTCGCAGCTTTGATTCGTTTCTTTCAAGAGCTCGTGATGGGAAGAGGAAAGGGCCTCTGGGTGAAACCCTGAAAGACCCTGAGCCCCCGAAAGGCAACGCAAGGGCACTTCAAGGGCACCCAAAGCCGCCTTCGGATCAGGCAAATCGGCGGAGGCATGGCGACGGCCTCTGAAGAAAGCAACTCTTCTCAGTGTTGGGACGAGGGCTTCTTTTTCTGGCGTGTTTGGGTGGATTGGGTTTGGCCGCTTGGCCTTTGGGTTCTTTCTTGCGGCCCGAGGCCTTCAACTTGGAAACCTAGCGGCGTTAGGAAAACCAATGCAGAGGAGTCGAGACCTAGCACCTCGTCACAAAAAGATCGTTTGACCTTGCCATCTGCATTGCATGCCCAGCATGCACTACATGATTTCTCGGAAGCGCGAGATGAATCGTACCGACATACGTGCAAACCTCAAGTGCCCCTAAACGTGATAAGCCCACACACGCGCTCAAACCTTAAGCCCCCCTAACACAAAGAAATACACAAGTCACATATCAACTACGTGGTTCGCGGTTGATTCCCGCGCGTGGTACAAAAGGCATGTTCTCAAGAACGGACGTGCAGAAAACATCGGCAGGGTGGCTTTTCAGGAGTAGAGGAAGATTTTTGCCATTTTGGGGGGCATGCTATTTCTAGTTGGTTTTGGTGATTTTTGTAAAGTGACTCTCAGGAGAAGCCGAAAACATCGGCAGGCATGGGTTTTTTTAGCACTGCAGGAAACCTGGTCCATTTTGGCGGGCATGCTGTTGAGGCTGTTTGCCTATTTGTTTTTTGTTTGGTTTGTTTTGAAGTCACTGTGAGGACATGCCGAAAACATCAGCAGGCGTGGGTTTTCAGCAGTAGAGGAAAACTTTGTCTATTTTTGGGGGGCATGCTATTCGCCTAATTAGCTACAGTAGTTTTCGTGAAGTGACTCTCACTGTATTTATGGGGTAGAGATTTCGGAGTGGAAGGCCGGGTCATGGGTTTCATGTTGAGGGCTTTTTAACGCCGTAAATACCAGTGTTTCGGGCATAAAAGCTGTAAATACCAGTGTTTTTGGGCATGGTCGCGAAAGGCATGGACGCTTGTGATAGATTTTCTTGTTCCACATCCTTGAACAGCATGTAGTACAAAGAGGCGAAAACGCTGTAAAAACATCAGTGTTTTGGGCATAAAACGCTGTAAAATACCGGTGTTTTTGGGCACGGTCGCGAAAGGCATGGACGCTTGTGATAGATTTCTTGTTCCACATCCTTGTGCAGTATGTTGTACAAAGAGGCGAACACGCTGAAAAAAAACACCAGTCTTTTGCGCATGGACGCAATATGAATGACGTTCTTATCCCCCCCCCACCCCCCCCCCCCCCACCCCGAAAAAGTGCCAAAAGTGCCTGAAACTACACGCGCGGGTACGCGCCGCACTCCAACTACGTGCATGACAGGCCCAAACCTTCCTTCTGGGGAGCCAGACTTCGTGCATACTGGATTCGGCTCACGAGATGCTGCTCCAGAAGCCTGCGATCAGTACAGGTTCTGGAGTTCGGGATTAGGGTTTTAAGTAGTGTTGCGGGATCTAAGGAGGGAGTGGGGGTTAAGGATTTCGGGCAGGTTTAAGCTTGGGGACAGGCATGGTCGCCCAACATGTTGTGGTTGTCGGGGACCGCTTCACTTTCCAGTGTCTACTTGCTGCCCCAACCTCTTTTGAAGAAATCTGAAAGTGTATCGTGAGATGTCAGCGATTGATGTACAACCACTTGCAACATGAGCTGCAGCAATGACTGTACTGCTTCCCTCAACGTGCACATCTACACCCACACAACCACAGATATTGAATGTATACCGGAGCACTGAGGCTGTGACGATTCATAGTTCTTCTGGTCCTCAATCTTGTACGGCCTGCAGCAGGGTGCTCTTGGAGCAGATCCTGGAAGTTGCTGAGCCCCCGAGGCCCAGGCAGGCAGTCGATCATCACCGAAAAGTCGCGTGGCCTGCTAGATGTGTGGCAGACTCATGCCTCGAATGACATGGCTACCACTACCACGCATAAGGAACTCCCCCAACTTAAAGGCCGCTCAACTGGACCTGCAGTTGCCATGGCTTTAATAAGAGGCTTATAAGCTTGCATTGTCGTTTGACTTAAGCAAGGATGCAGCCAGCGAGCGTTACTTGCTCCAGCTCGTCCTGCGTCGCAGTCCTGTGACAAAGCACAGCGGACGGATGGGAGCTTCAAAAGCTTCCGCAAGCTTCCGCAAGGGCCCACCCCTGCCTTGGTATCTGGATGAAGCGGGCCCAGATGCAGTAGAGCAAGAAGATCACCACTGCAGCGAAATCCAGCCAGCCTGAGGAGCAACGAATCCATGAGCCCGCCGCACCGATGCCGTTGCAAAATCTGGGGTTTTTGTGCAGCTGTGCTCAGGTGGGGTGGGACGGAGGCTCTGACCGCAGCATTTTTTCACAGCACATGCAGCTCCCCAACGTGCTCGCACATGTGCCTGGCTTGCTAATCGCTTTTGCCATACAACTTCATGGAAAAATGCAAGTGTCTACATGTCGCCTCAACCTCCCCCCCACACCCCCCCACTGAATGCGGCATTGATGAAAGAGAATCGCACTGCAGGATGCAAGGATGCAAGGCTGTGTGATGTTTTGTGTGGCATGGTCTTCACCGTCACTCGGCCCTGGGACACAAGCCCTTCGAACGATTGAAACTCAAAGTATGCCAACACCCCCCCCAGACTCCGAAAGCTCAGGCCGAATGAGCCTAAGATGAGGAGTTGCTCCAAGCACGAGGTAGCGAAGCTGAGGCAGAGGCCAAACACTCCCGTCAAGTTGTGAATCTCCGTGCCTGGTAGACAAGGATGCAAGTCGGCCATTCTCATCCATGCTGGCCCTCTCTGCTCTGCACCGACGGGTCGATGTTGAGAACTTACAATGGATACAGATCCTGAGTAGGAACGAAACAAATCCTACCAATCCCTGAAGAGGCTGGAGAGGCTTGAGATGCTCATCCAACTGGGTTTGATTCCAACTCAGTTTGGACAGAATCACAAAGGTTCAAACATACGCTGGAGGCAAAGCTGCGTATAGTGAACTGAAATGAAAGAACATCAGCTCGTAGCCGCTGTAGCCCATGCTGAAGAGTGTACCGATGCCAACTACTTCGACAAGAACACACAATGGGTTAAATCAAGGCTAATCGGCGAGCCTTTGTCCCTGCCAAAGACCATGCACAAGTTTATCTGACATTCCGAGACTGCTTAAAGGAATCCCACATGTTAAACACCTTTCAGAGTTCCAATCCAAGCCTCATGCAACCTGGAACAAGTTCAATCAACCGTGCACCAGTTCCTGGGGTGCTCGATTTACAAGGCCCTATGCTCTACGTTCATGATAGAGGCAGATTCAGTTCATTCTACCAAACTCCTTCTGACTCCTGAAGTCACCCCCGCTGCCGCAACAGCCATGAACATGGGGAAGCAGTTCTAGAACGCAAAAAGATGATGCCTTAACCCCTTCAAGCCGAAAACCAAGTCTAGAACTCCTAGAACCGACAAAAACAATTGCGGTTTGACTTGATGATGCGCTTGTGAAGTTTGGGATCCAAGAGTTTGTGGAGAAGCCTTCTTGTGGACTTGGAGTGCTTTAAGCACTGTTCTGTGCATTCCCAACAAACATCCACCACACCAAATAGGCTGTAGTTGAACTTTGGATTTGGGGCTTCCCCCGCCAACCCTAACTTAATACTCGGCGAGGGAGGCTGGCCTTCGCAGCCCAGCCGCACAACCCGATCTTGGCACACAGAAAGTATAGGGTGTAGTCTGCCGGGTTCGCAAGGCTTCGGGCACAGTTGCGTGTCGTAGTGCTGCTGTTTTGGCTTTGTTTAAGCCGTCTAACTCCCAAAGTCAAAACAACCCTGTAGAATCTCAATCCCGGCCCTCCCAAAGCGAGGGCAGCGCTCCAGGGGTCGATGATGTCTGCCTCCACGAACTCGCCTCAGGGACTCCGGAGGCTCCACTCCACGGAGATTTTTTTGGCAGAGGGTTCTCACGGAATTGACTCCATGAAAATGATGGCATTGACCCCACCACGCCGCCCAAGCCATCGGCCCAGATTTCCAATGGTCGTCTTCAGCAGGAACTGTGCCAGGAGTCTATTGGGTTCAGGATGACGCAACGGGCGTGAAAGGGACTCTACACGTCGTGGATCAAACCCCTCTTGGCCTGGCCCGTGTCGGGCCCGAAGTTTCCAAGCATGCAAAAGGCCACCAAGGGTCCTGTCGCCGCGGCCTTGTTTTGCACAAAGTGATACATTACCTCAAACAAACACACATACACGCACACACACACACACACACACACATTTACACACATATTTTAGGCACCTGCAAGGCACAAAAACACTAAGTCACTAAGCCACTAAGCCCGTGTCCATGTAGGCAAAGATGAAGCCGAGGTTCCTTGAGTATTCGGCACGTAGGTTGAGCTTCGGTTGAAGCACTGATTTGACATCCGTTGCTGCAGCACCGAGAGTTGCAGTGCACTGTTGAGATCAAAAAGATCGGGGCGCGAGAAGAGCCAAGCGGCATCAAAGTGCGGAAGTAAAGCTCAGTGCCGGTTCCGCCTCAGCTGCGCAGCTCCTGTATTGCATGATACGACGCTTCCGGGTAACTGGGTTACAGTAGGCATGCGGGTCTAGGACACGCAGGCCGTGGCTCCGAAAGTTAAGCCCCCACACTCCAGACTGCAGACCCTGCATTTGCACTGAAAGGGTCTTGGGCCTTGCTTGGGCTACTTATTCTCTGCAACAGGTGGAGCATTTCAGAATCTAAGGGCCTGGCCAATTTCGCTCAGACGATACGTCGGCGTGCACATTGGACTCAACCATTTGTTTTCTGCAAGCCACCAGGACAAGCAAATCAGCTTCAGAACTGAAAGAAACGCAGCCAAGGCTCTTGCAACTCTTGCAACATTTCAGGTTTTGGACTGTGAGAAGAAGCTACAAGTAGTCCTCCCTGAGAGCCCGAACCCAAACCACCAGCTGCACGCCCACTCGCCCACCCGGCCTTGCGTGGCGCTTGTCCTCACCAAGTGGGCCTTGGCGGCCTGCAGGCAGATCTTGAGCTCCAAGATCGCGGCATGCTCTCCGAAGGGAATTTCAGGTCAGGAGGGATGTGCTAGTCCTACCAGGCCGACCATGTATTCAAAGCGCGAATAGCACCAGGAGATCGTACTAGCTAGGTCTAGGTAGGGCTGGCCACCGAGATGGGACCTCCGCTGACGTTTGCATATTGAGAACTTTGAATCAAAACTGGAGCCGCCGAATCTCAGGGATTTCATCGCGGGTCAGGGAGCTGGACGGCCTCCGAGTCTTGAATCCTTCCGGGCCGGGGAGCAAAAAGTCACGCCTCACCCCTTCACGGCCTTAACCCGAGTCCCTCAGTTCTCAGTTCCCTGTAAACAAAGCCCCCTGTAACGAAAGGAGAGCCCCTTCCGTGTGCCTCGAGGTTCGGCGTCGGGTCAGGGAGCTCGCACTCGACCTGGGGCTGAATGGGGGCTTCAGGGTTTCAGGCGCTCTTCTCGGATTTCTGCGAGTTGCTTCTCGAGCTTTACAGCTTTACTAAAGGACTTTGGGCCGAGGGCTCAAAGGCTCAAGAGGTGCAGGGTTGGGGGCTGCCGGTTTTGCCTGCAAGAAGACGCCCGCCTCGCAACTCCGCCACTCGCCTTGTTCTAAGGCTCTAAGGGTCTGACTGACTTTAGCGTTGCAGCCTTCTTGGCCGCGCTTTCACCCTGGCATCGGCGCTCTGGCATCACAAACTGAAATTACAGTGCACAGGCCTCTTCAGCATCGGGCCTCGGCTTGCATCCAACCCACAGCCCGAGGCAACTTGGACGGATTCTTCGAATGCTCTCGGTCATCCCTTGGTTTCCGGCGCCACCTGCTGGAAGCCACGCTTGCTGCCAGTACACCTGGAACATGGAGAGCTTGGGCAGAAACGACAGGAACTTGCCAGTACATTTTTCAACGGCTTTCCATAAAATGGGCGACTGCATGGCAGGATAGCATTCCACAAAATGCCCGCGCGTTCACTTAAGGGCGTCCTGTGCTCGCCCCTCGCACATCAGCCTGACTAGAATGCTTTGATCTCCTTGGGGGCTTCAGCTTAAACCCTATAGGCCCTGAACGCTCATGGACTGAGCATCTTCGTCTTCGACTCAAGATCGACCTTTCATTGCTCGTAGGATCTACTTCGCCCAGGCTGCACCCTGAGAACCACAGAAAGTTATGTATGTTTAGGGTAACATGTTGCGTACCACGACCTGAATGGGTCAGAGCACCATCAACTTGGGGATGTTTAGGGCCTGTGGCCTAACTGAGGCTAAGAGCTTTTCAGGGGCCTTAGGGCTGTTATGGTGGCCCTCCATGGCACCATCGAAACGGGATGGTGATCCCCAGTGTCAGCGTGAGCCCGTAGATGATGGAATAGGTCCAAACGCGAGCCTGGGATTTTCCGAGAAGGGATCGGAGTTGAGGTTGGGGGCCCGCTTTCAGTGCAGCACAGTATAGTATCGTATATGTGGGGGGTTGGGGGGGGGCAGGTTCCCAAAATAGGGGTGGGGCACCCGTTTCCCACAATGAAGACTCTTGTATGTGGGGCGGGGGGCATATTAGGTGCTGATTACACTCACCCCGACCTTTTCTCCTCAACTTAACCAGCACACCAAGACCCTAGGCTGGGACTCCTTGGGCTCCGGGCGAACTGGGCATTGCCACCAAAGTCCAGCTCCGCGCAGCCTGCCTCAGCAGTTGAGGACTAATTAGGGCACTTAGATGTGCGTGGGTCATTTGGGGTGAGGGTTTCAAGCTTTAGCTGTGAACACAGCAGTTTTGATTCACCTCAAAGCCCCCGCACAGACCTCCATCCAAATTCACTGACACACTCCTTGCTCTGTCGCTGGGCCTTCTCTGCCCAGTAGCGCAGGGCGACCTGCGCTAGGGGTCATGAAAGATAGTTCTGTCATTGAAGGTTGGTCCTATACACTGAAGCCCCTCAGACCACACAACGTTTCGGCTCCCAGCGGAGTAGAAAGATGTTCGGGGCTGCTCGGGGTGCACGAATCTCCAAGAATCTGGGAGATGAGGATTGCCATGTTTTGCAGCCAAGTGTTTTTTCGCTCGAACGTCTGCACCAAAACCTTCTCGACGGTCTGGCATCTTTGGAACGTCTCTGGAACAACCAAGACGCCATACACTTTTCCCGCCAAGTCCCTCAATCCAACAGCCGTTGCTCCTGAATTCATCTTCTGGACAAAGACTCGAACATGAAAATTGTGCCCCCGTCTGCCTGCCAAGTCGACATCCCACCTGCAGGTGCCAGAAAACATCATATACAGCAGGGCGGCCAGAGCCACGCTAAGTTGCCCAGCTCACATCCACGTGCTGGCAAGCACAGCTTGCACCCACAAAGGATCACAGTGCCTGAATGATGCAACCTCACATCGACATCTCGAACTGCGGCGCTTGCCTGGAAATCTGGCTCAGCGGCTATACATGGCCGGGCCAAAGGAGGGGTATAGTGCCGACGATCATGGGTGTTTTGTCGCTCGGTTCGAGTGGGGGTGGGGGTGCCGGGTCGTTGAGGCCTCAGGTTAAGCACCATGGCAACTCTCACGGGCGCTTCCTGTCTGATCACTTGGCGCAACATGTCGGCTCAATGGCCCGCACGTCATGTTCTACATACTGCCGAGTCAGGAGCCGAACGTGGCATGCATTCCAAGACACTGTATACAAATCGTATAGTGTATATGTATATATAGAGAGAGAGTATGTATTGGTACTGTTCGTATTTGGACTTGTTGGTTTATATGTCTAGAGTCCAGGTATTTATTTCTCTATGTGCTACCACCACTCCCCCCCCCAAAAAAAAACAAAACTTTGCATATACACTTGTGAGTATTCCTCAATAAAATTAAATATAGGCGTAAAGTACTTGCAATGCTCTTCCTTGACTTACCGAAGCCGTTCTCCCTGCCAAGCTAGGATATGACAGCACCGTGTCTGCAACACACTTTGTCATTTCTTCTTAGTAGAGGTGCATTTGCCTGACACACCTTGACAAACAAAAACACAACAGTAAAGTAAGTAAATCCTTCCTACCTAGGACACCAACTGCAGACTTGTGCACATTACATTTTATGATTCCTTGTTACTCAATGTACATTTGCCGAAATACCCTGACAAACCAAAATATTGCAGACAAGTATTCAAGAAACCTTTCTGCGTACAATGTCGAGGACCCAAATTGCAAAATATGTGCATCTCCCTTTCTGATTCCTGGTTATTCACTAACACTTACCGAAAACACCTCCAAAACATGACAGTAAAGTATTTAAGGGATCTTGAGACATCTGCCCCAACATGATCTGCGCGTAATTTCCGCAATGCCCCATAATCACCAACGTGCGCATGTACATAGGCTTCCGGCCATAGAATGCAGCAATTACAACCCTATATGACCCTTATTGGAGGAAGAGCTCCAGTCTCTAAGCCACCCTGCCACTTTGATCCACAGTCCGCGAGGGCTGCCGTTCTTTGGGCTGCCAATGGCCATCATGGCGCATGAGACTGGTACTGAGGCGCTGCCCATGGCTGCTGATGCAAAAGGCCCAAGGTCATCCTTCAGTGATTCAGGGTCTCATTGCACCGGCTCGGAGACTGTGCCTTCTGGCAACCATGGGCAGGAGAGCATTTGCATCCTGGCCTGCTCTGACCCAATATCGCCTCCGAGATCTGACAGTCACAGGCTGAGGACTCTGTGAATTGTCAACAATATCTCAATATGAAGGCACTTCATCTGGGCCCTACTTTTGATGAGCAGCCAGGAGTGGTTCGTTAGCATCCTTATCTTCCCCTTCAGCTTGAGCTCACTCGTCGTCGGAAGAGCCTCAACTGCAACGAAGGTCTTGGGACTTGGGGCTCAATCGCAAAAGCGCCATCCACGTGCACGGCCCATGTAAAACATGAATGAACTCCCAAACTACCAAATCTTCTCAGCCACAAGCCAAAGCGGTTCGCCGCCAGCAGGCGCTGGCCTCAAAACTCATGGCCATTGCACAACCTCGAACCGAAAATCCCTGAAAATCATGAACCTGAACCTGGAAGTCTAAACTCTAAACCATGAGTCCCGAAGAACCCGAAGAACCCCAACAGCTGCGATTTCCAAGTCCTTCCTGAACAGTTGAAAGACCGACTCCTGACCCCAACCCTCCCCGACGAGCGAGTCTGCGGGTTGGGGCTTCGTTGGAGTTGCATATCATGGACATGATATGCCTATTTCAATATCTATGTGTATTTAGTCTAGCTGAGTCAAGAAACCTCAACCTTAGGGCCGGGCTCTGTTCGCCGTCCTCATCCTCCGCTACAAGCTTGTCCTCAGGATGCTTGCAACACCAGACTTTTGACGCCCATTTGGCAATTTTGGGGAAGCGCTATCCGCTTTGGAAGCAGAGGTCCTTCCGCCCTCGTCTGGCACGGGGCCGGCCTTGGCGCTTGCGGATTCTTTGGGCTTTGGATGCAGAGCCTTCTTTTGGCATGAAATCTAGGACCTGAGATTTCAGGCTTTGTAGGTTCAGGTTTTGGGTTCCGGGTTCAGGTCCGAAGTTTCCGTCTGGGTCTCGGGGCTTTGTGGTGGCCTTCGGGCATTCCAACTGCCGAATGATTTCGATTGCTGAAGTCTTGAGACCCTTAAACTTAAGAGATTTGGACTGATAAATCCGAGCACCCAACGGCTGTTGCCGTGGCCTTGAAGCAACGGAGGCAGTTGCAGGTTCAACCACAAAGTGGCAGCTACAAGTACTGTCTGCCGAGTCTTTCG